AAGTGGGTGATCTGAAATTCACCCATATAAATGAATGAAAATCATCCTGTTAATTGGGTGAATTTCAGATCACCCACTTAAAAGAGTGAAAACTGTTAATCAGATGGGTGACCATCACCCACCAATGTGCATGAAATTCACCCACTTTTCTAAATGAATTAGCGCAGTCACCCACTAATGGGGTACATGAATTTACAGTGTTATAATGGCAAAAAACGGCCTAAAAACGGGGTCAAATGTCATAAAAATGCCATTTAAATGCGTATTAACAGCGTATTAAATGGCAATTAATTGGCAATTAATTACACCGTTTTCGACATCCTAGATGGGTTGCTTTCGAACAAATTTCTACAAATTTATTGTATCTATAATCAAATCTAACGACATCTAGAGCAGATGCTAGTCGCACGGAACTGTGTCACTATTGTGTGAAATATTAGATTAAGGTTCATTCATTGTAATATGATATTGAAAGTAAATGTGTGATACACTCGTAGAGACTACTGTCGAGAAACTTATTGGTACAGATTGCAGGGAGACAAAAATATTTCATAGTCCAGTTTGGGCATATTAGCAACAACTAATAACCGCATAGCATATGTTGTGATCAAATAGTCGTTGTCTACTTTTAGCCGAAAATAAGTTGTCGAAAATAAGAATCGTGTTAGATCTTGCTTTCTCATTGGTGAATTGGCAAAATTTTTACCAATCCTTTTAGCTGTTATTATCGGCTAAAAGTAGACAAAGTCAAATAGATTATGTACAGTAGATTGATAATAAAAGGTATCTTATTTCATGCAGTCGAGGTGCGATTAAAATACGCCAAAAAGCTTTGAGAAATTTTGACGAAACGTCTGATTTTCGATTCTTCTTCCGTTTATGATTCGAAGAAAGCGATCACGAGTACTCAGTTTCAATTCAGCATTGTTTTTGATAACAGAGTACGCGTCTAAATTTTAAAACAAACTTTGTTTTGAACGTTGGAAAAACAAAACTGATTTTATTAATTGTTGTTTTCTTTCAGGGAATTTGCGATGAGTCATTCTCAACCTGTGGATCATGATATAACAGCAAGATTTTACCAAGCGAGAACGTTATTAATAGACTAGATCGGTAGCTTTGGGTACTGAAAAGGTGCTGAGGTGCTATACGAAAAAAATTGCCTTTTCCCCCCTTATATAAAAGACGATGTCCCTTCTCTTCATGAATCCTGTTTTTGATTTTGATTTGTCTGACTCATCTTAAATAAAAATCGTTCATAGCCGACTAACTGACTCAGCTCTGCCGTAGTGAAAAAAACGGATCGATCAAGGGATCTTTTTCGATTTTTTGAAGCAGTGCATCTTGCGAAAAAAATCAAAGTGTATATGTGCACGGTGACTCGAACAACAGAGTACTCGTTTGCATTTATTAAAAACACTAAAATTCAGTTCCCAGTAAAAACACTTAACGAAGGATCTTCTTAAGTGCTTGCTGTCTTTGGTTTTGCTCTCAAAGGTATCAGATTTAATTTATCTTTTTTTCCATTAGTTTTGTTTTAGATGTCAAAAAGATCACGTTAATTAGGCTTCAAACTATCGCTCTGTTTTTCTTATTTCGGCTGTTTCTAAAGTCTTTGAGCGTTTAATTCACAATTATATTTTTTGTCATTTCTATAAACATTCCTTTTCTTGTATCTAACCATTCCGTTGTTGATACTTTGCTGTCTTCGTCTTTAACTATCACTAATTTCTTTTGACTTTTCTAAAGTCTTTGACTTGTATTGTGCATCGTTCTTGGTTTTTTTCTGATCTTCTTACCTATCAAATCGTTCTTAGTACATGTGTTTGAATGAATCTGTCTCTTCTCCTTCTGTTCCTACGGATATACCATAAGGTAGCATGCTCACTCTTTTTCTCCTAATTTTTATTAATAATCTGCCTTTTTTACTTAATCTGTCCATTTACTGATAATATTTTCCTAATTGTGTCTCTTTCTTTGTCTGATCTATCTGATTTTTCCATATGCAAAACTGTATTAATACAGTTCTGAAGATTAGTAGAACACCAATTTGAAATAGAGTTAATTAATTCTATTTCAAATTAGTGTTCTGCTAATCTCATGTCTATACATGTTCTTGGCTTCCTTTTTTCTTTCCATCTCTGTTATTTTGTTTATAATCAATTTTTTCGGCTCTTAATTGCTTATCTCACAAATCTCTTTCTCTTCGTCGCAAAATATTCCAGACTATCCAAAAAGAAATTAAAAATTCATTTATTATAGCTATTGTTACAAAATTGAGAAGACAAGTTCTTATCTGTCTTTCTTGTTATTTATTTTCTAGGTGATATCTCGAGTTAAAAAAATCTCTCGATTATTGTGAATTTTTATTTGACACGGAATGAGATTCATTGCTAGCATTACCAAGATGCTTCCACTGTAGAAAGTGAAGATGAATTTGATTTATCTTGTTTTAAAGTAGTTGATAGAATTTCTATAGTGTATGATGACTTTTCGTCGCCTATTCAACACGTTGTGTATTGTTTGTTTAAAAATGCACTCTATTTTCATTTGAAAACGAATTTTTCATCAATAATAGCAAAATGTTTCATTCACAACTGGTCCACCAAATGCTGTTACTACCGCAACAACAATATCCGCCCGCATTTCGTTTATGTTTCTATACCAATGGTGTTTCAACTAAATATTATAAACCTTCTCGATATCAATAAAAAGTAATATTATTAATAAATTATTGTGTTTAGAACATATTCTGAATAATTTATAACAAATCTTGTTTGAAAAATGCCAAGTTGATGAATGTTGTCAAATGATTTTTATCAAAAATTATCAATGATGATTAACTATATTAATAATAAATTCAGTTTTAAAATGATGATTACTCTGCAAAGAGTCTATTAAATAGTTAATCTATTTTGACGACACATTCCTGTTTTACTACAAAAAATGAGCTACTTATTCAAATATTAATTAAATTTTCCTTTTCCACCGTTGCAATAAGAAATAAGTTCCGTTGTATTGACTAAAAATTTACTTCTTCTACTATTTAACACATTTCTATATTAATTACATATTACTAGTTTTATTTCTCGAAGGTGTATACCTTGTCGATCTAATAATTAAGAAAAAAATTTACTCCTTTGGCTAACACTTTTTATGATGTGTTCATCATTACCTATTATTATCTTTCTCAGAGTCAAATATACAAAATACGAAACAGAAAAGAAAAATATATTTATATAACGTTTTTCTTTTCTTTTTTTACTTTTCTTTTTTTACCATTGTATATACTCAAAAACACATTTTTTTCTCTTCATCTTTCTGTTGTTTTATAAGTTACATTTCATTTTATCATAAAGTTTGTCCTTTATATTTTATTCATTTAATCATTACTCACATACATTAAGTAAGTGCAAATAGAACGATTTATTGAATTATTTATTTTGTATATTGTCTCATCGGATATTATACAATAGGACCAGTGTAATTTTCGTAAAAATGAGAACTAATTTAATTTTTGGAAAAAATACATGATTTTTTTAACTGTTGACTTAGTTAAATGAGCGTTTTTTGTTTTGTTTTTCTGAATGCTTTAGACTTATAAAAATAAAAGATACATCTATTTTTATATATTTAGATAATTTTGTATTTCTAATTTTCTCTTTTCTTATTGTATTCATCTTCTTCATCTAAACAAAACAAAAAAAAAATGAGTACAGTATTTCGAAGTGAAGAAATGACATTATGTCAACTGTTTCTACAGCCAGAAGCAGCCTATTCTTGTATATCGGAATTAGGAGAACTTGGAATTGTACAATTTAGAGATGTAAGTACTCTTTTACTTTTTTAATTGACTTAATTTTCATTTTTTTTTTTCATTTCTTTATTTTAGTTAAATCCAAATGTTAATGCATTTCAACGAAAATTTGTCAATGAAGTACGACGTTGTGAAGAAATGGAACGAAAATTACGTATGTCTATTTTTTTTTAAATAAAAAAAAAATATGTATTTATTTTTTCTTGTTTTTAAGGTTTTCTTGAAACAGAAATTAAAAAAGATAATTCACACATTTCTGATCCAGAAGATAATCCGGAGGCACCAAAACCAAGAGAAATGATTGATTTAGAAGTATGTATTGTATGAAGACAATAACTATGAATTAAAGGACTGAATAACACATGTCGCCAAAATCAAAAAATTTTTTTTTTGCGTGAATCAACGGAATAACGCAAAAAAGATGCAAAACTATAAGTGGTATAACGCAAAAAATGGCGAAATTCTGCATATTCTTCTAGAACAAGGAGAAGAAAAAAATATGCAAAAAGAATTTTGCCATTTTTTGCGTTACGACACTTGAGTTTTTGCATCATTTTTTTGTGTGACTACGCAAAAAAAAACTTTTGCAATTTTTACCTGGGAAGGTTTAATACAGTGTGTCCCAAAAGTCCCTTATGGAAAATATTTTTGAATGAACCTCTGTTTCATTGAACTTAATCAATATTTTTTTTCATATGATGCATATCACCGTCAAGTTTTTATTGATATGAAAAAAGCCTACAAATATTGCTCAAAGGTATCACCTTGGACAGAAATACAAAAA